ATATTGTTCTGTTTTCTGCAAATTGGCAGAAATGGTTTCCTTTAGGTGTGTTCTCTCTTTTGTTAGTGATTCGTTTCGCGTTCTTTGCAATAGTTGCTACTCTTTTTTTTTACAAAAAAAAATTTTCTATATAAAAAAAATCATCTTTCCTATTTACTATGTCTCATAATTTGGATTATTCTTCTTACGCGCTTGCCATGGAACTGGCAATTAGTGGTGTGGATTCTGTTGTTTCCTTTTTGGTTTGAAAACGGTTCCAATTGGAAAAGTTACAATTAGATAAAGTGTTTGGAGGTTGCCGCGGGTAAGTCTATTTTATTGTTCATATTTTCCTACTCAGTTTGCTATTATTATATATATATATATATTTTTTTTTTAATTTACTCTCTATTTCTCTTTTTTTAGCGATATAATTACACTACTCATTTTAATATTACCCTTACACATCACATTCTACCCATAGAGCAATTGTAGCGTGAATGACGTATGTTTTTATAAAATAAATTTATGTACTGTGTTAAAAAAACGTTTTATTACATTCATTGTATCCTTCCTTCTGAACTTTTTTTTTTAAAATAAAAATTTTACCGTAATTAATTGAGAAAGTTTCTTGTTTTTTTTTTTGTATTTGTTATATATAATTTTTTTTAGACACCTCCCTTCGTTTTTTTTTTAATGATAGTAAGTTTTAGTTTCTTAATAATATAGTAAACAAGAAACATATATGATATTTTATAAATTTTTCTAATTTATAGTTATTTGGCAATTCACATTTTTTGTTTATATGATGTCAGCCGTTTCTCACTGTTGAAGGTGCTTTCCCCTTTTACGTATGAGTGTCCACATCTTACGGTTCCGCGGTGTATTGTTTTCCCCTCGTGTTTCGTCCCGCGCTCCCGTTTGACATTCAGTCATTAGTTTTATTACCGCGCGCGTGCCACTTTTCGATTGTGCTTGTGTTTTAATTGTTTTTTTTAAATATTGTTATTGATTGTCCTTTTTTTATTTTAAAATTTTTCGGTGTGGTGTTTTGTGTATAATTTTTTTTCATGTGCGTGTCTGTGTGTTTTTTTTTATATTGTGTTTTTTTTGTTTATTTATTGTAGGGTATGAAGAAAAAAAAATCTTGGATCCTTTTTTGGTATGTTATATATTTTTGAATATTTTCCTTCCCTTTTGTTCTATCTAGGTATTTAATCCTTTTTTTTTATTTACTTATTATTTTTTTATTAAATCTTCAAATTGAACAAAAAAAAATTTTCTTTTCTGTTCTGCCTAGCGAGTGCGCGTGTCATATTACACGTGTTTTCGCTGAGTCAATGTTTTGACATGTCGTCTTTTAATCTTTTATTTACCTGTATTAATATTTTAATATTTTTCGTATTATTTTTTTTTGTATTGTATGATTTGGAAAGAATTTAATAGCCTCTTTTTTTGTTGTTGTATTGTAATTATGATGGCAAATAATTTTGTTTTTTAAAACAATATTCTTATTAAAATTATAGTGGTTTTCTTTTTTTTTCATTAAAAAATTTTAATTTACTGTAACCCTCCTTTGTTTTTTTTATTACCCCGAATTTTATTTTGACTATTAATTGTAAGAGTATGTTATATTTATTTTCCTTTAATAATTATGCTTTTGTTATTTAATTTAATCCCCCTTTTGTTTAGTATTTTAAGTATATATATATATATATATATATATATATATATATATATTTTAATTGTTCACTTTTGTTGTGGGCTTTGGTAAATTTTTTTTGTAAAATTTCGTTTGTTTTATACATATATTTTTTTTTAGGAATAGCGTTGGAAAAAAAATTCTTCCTTTTTTTTAGGTGAGTTTTCTTTTCATGTTCTTTTTATTGTTTTATTTCTTTAATACTTTTTCTAAAGAAAACCCTTTTTGTAGGTAAAATTTTTGCAGTATTTGGTGATTGGTTTGTTCTCATATTAATGTCATTAAAGGTAAGTTATCTTTTCATGTTATTTTTATTGTTTTATTTATTTGGTAATTTTTTCTAAATAAAGCCCTTTTTGTAGGTAAACTTTTGCAGTTATTGGCCGTTGACTTGTTCTTGTTTTTGTATCATTGAAGGTGAGTTATCTTTTCATGTTGTTTTTATTGTTTTACTTCTTTAGTAATTTTTTTCTAAATAATGCCCTTTTTGTAGGTGGACCTTATAGGATTTAATGGGCCAAACTTTTCGTCGTGTCTGCTGAGATTGAGGATCAAAAAAAAAATTTTTATACGGCTTACCTATTTTTAGACCGTTGTACCTATTAGGGGTACTTCCGTCTTCGCTGATTTTTTTAGGTTGCTAATCGATACCATCTACTTATGTGTTCATGATACAGTATTGTTGTACGTGTATATTTAAGTTCATGTGTTTTTCGATTAGTTTAACTTATGGGATATTTAAATATATATCTTCTCTTTTTTTTTAAATTTTAGTTCCGCGTTATTTTGAATTTTTTTTCTTCCCTATTTTTTTTTTGTTTTTAATGTATATCTATATCTTGTTTTATTACTCCTCTCGATTTATTCTTTGTGTAGGTAATTTTTGTTTCCTTTGAGGGATTTTCAAGGCTCGAATTTCTTTCCGTTTCGTTGTTTGTAGCGTTTATGTTCTGGACGGTACTTATTAGAGAAGGTATTTCATAATTTTCTTCCATGATTTTTGTTGATTTCTTCTTTCTTTTGGGCGTTTATTTGTTGTTATGAATGAGTTTTTTCTTTTTTATACAAATTATTATTTGACTTATTATTATGATTATACTTAGTGTAATGCACACTGCTAATGTATAATTTGAATAATGATTGTGTTCTAATTGTCCTAGTGTGTGTAGGCTTTGTGTTTTCAATTCTTTTTCCAGTTCTTTTAGCGTTACATCTGTTTCCATTTTTTTCCAATACGGGTGTAGTTTATCGTTTTCGTCGTTGATTTTTTGTGAATTTAATTTCTTTGTTATGGGTGATATGTGTTCTAGTTTCAGTTCTAATTTTGGTTTATATGTATATTGGTGCGGATTTTCTTTTATTGCTAAAATTGGCAACTGTACTGCGTCAATTGTTAGTGTACATTTTGTACTTATGTGAATTATTCCTATTCCTCTTATTTGGTAGGTTTCAGGTTCCTTGTCTTTACATTTCAGATATAGTGCTTCATTCTTCACTAGTGAATAAAGCCAACTTCCAGTAGTTGTTAGTGGTTCCCATAGTGGTTGTTGGTCCTTAGTTATTCGTACGTCGCAATTTCTTAGGGTTTCGTTTGTGGGTTTTCTTCTTAATTTTGGTTCACAGCTAGGTGTTAGAAGTATATCATATGCCCCGTATTTGTGGTGACAAATATATTGTTCATTAGTTAGATAGCAATTGGATAATTGTTCTTCTGTCAAATAAAAGTAAAATCTTTCGTTGGCTGTTATAGCTAAATATCTGGAATGCGGTAGTATGTATGCTCTATTGCTATGATTATTTTTTTGTCCTGTTTGACTGGTAGTTCATGCATCCTGTAGAGTATATAAACTTTTTCTTCCCCTAAAGGTATGTCTAACGATAGAATTAAATTATTTGTGTCTATTAGTAATTTTACTTCCGCTATTTTACTGATTGTTGTTGTGCTTATTTCGTCTATAGGCATGGGAAATTCTTGGTCCTTTAAATATTTTTTTGCTTCCGTTGCTATTGTTATCAATAGTTCGTCTGATAACAATTCTGAAGAAAGATGTCCTTCTTTTGCTTCTTTTAAGATTTCTAAAGTATGATCTAAATTGTGCTCATAAGTATCTATTTGTCTAGTCCATAGTATTATTTGTTCTCTTAAATTTCCTGTGTATTCTATTATACTAGTTTGATTTTTTAAATCTAGTATTTCTCTTTCAGTTTTCATTAATTCCTTTCTCGACTGTTGCGATGAGTTATGTTGTTCTTCTGCCATATCGTAGAGCGTATGCAATTCTGCTCTTACTACATGTGTCTGTTCTCCTACTAAATGTGAAATATTCCTTTGAGCCTCATTTAGATCCCTCATTATTTCTTTATAATTTTCCCCTTCGTCATAAGTAAGTAAACCTATAGTTGGTCCGATTATTTTTACTAATACACTTATTAATGGTGCATTTCTTTTACTTATTTTTCTGTTTTGTTTTTATTCCTTTTTTATATTCTTTTGTGTCTTCTTAAATCTCCGATGATTTTCTCCAGCTTTTTCCATTTTAACTTTATTATTGCTACCCTACTTTTTATTGTTTCATGTGATACGAATTGTTCGCAATTATATCCTAAAATCTGTTTACACGCCTTTTCTGTAGCATTTAAACCCTCGTCTAACTCCTTGAAGTGTGACTTAAAATTTTCCATATTCAGTATCACTGCTGTTCTCCAGGAACCTGCTACTCTACGTATTGCGGGCATTCTTTCAAAGTATATGCCTATACCTTTATTCATTGTTATTATGCTAATGTCTTCATTGTCGATTTCTGCATACGTTATTTTGATTATCCATACGGTTAGTAATAATATTCCTATTGCGTAGTTCATTTTTCTGTAAACATAAATTATAATGTGTTTCTTAGTTAATAGTATCTTAATAATTCTTTCGTGTATTATTCTATTGCTAATTTAGCTAATTTATCTGCCTCTTCATTTTCGGTTATTCCACTATGACCCGGTTCATATATTAACTCTACTGTTATTCCTTTGATTATTTTTTTCATTTCTTTGAAATTGTTTTTACTAAGAACATCCCGTTTACGACTAGTTTTCCAACCATTTTTTTCCCATTTTGGTACCCAATTTGTTAGTCCTTCTATCGCAAGCTTGGAGTTTCTATGTACTCTAATTTTTTTATAACCTAGCAATTTTATTATTTCGATAGCTCTCATAATGGCTTCGATTTCTGCGCTGTTATTAGTTTGTTTTTTACTTGCTCTTTCGGTAACGTTTAGAGAGTGCTTATGGTTCAACCATATACCTATGCCAGCTTTAGCGTGTGGTTTGCCATTTGCTTTGCATGCACCGTCGGTATAAACATTAATAAAATCTTCTTCATCTTTTATGAATTCTTTAGTATTATTTTGTCATAAAAAAGCTCTTTTTACTTGATCCTTATGTTTGCGAAATCTTTTTTTTTCGGCATCGCTTAGAATCAAGTTGTTTTTTTTTGTTATTTCTTCTACTCTGTATGGTCCGTGGTAATATGGAGAGAATTTTCCCGCTCTGACTTCCTCTTTCACATCTACGAAATCTCCTATTTTTATGTTTAGGGGTGTCGTTTTATTATCGTAACTTTCTTTTACCTTTTCTTTTCTCTGTATGATGTTTTTGGCAACTATTCTTCTAATTTCAATCAATCTTGTTACTAACTCTCTTATGTATGATTCATAAGTTTCTAATTTTTCTGGTGTTGGAAATATTGATGGTGTTCTCGCTATTTTTCCGAATATTACTTCGTATGGTGTAAACTTAGTAGCTTCGTGTACAGACGTATTATACGCAAACATTGCATAAGGGAGGAGTCTGTCCCAGTAATCTTTTGTTTTAGCATAGTGTCTTAGGAATTCTGCTAACACTGCATGACTGCGCTCTAATCCTCCATTTGTTTGGGGCCTGTAGGCTGTTGTTGTGACTTGTGATACCTTGAATATTTTTGCCAATTTTCTTAAGAGGTCACTTGTAAATGACCTGCCTTGATCAGTGAGTATACATTTTGGTGCTCCGTATACTGAGAATAAATTAGTGGCTGTTGCATGTGCTATTGTAGTAGCGCTAATATCAGGTATTGCTACGAAAATACTATATTTGCTGAGCTGATCTTGCATTGTTAAAACGTGACAGTTGCCATTCGCTGTAGTTGGTAATTTTCCAACAGTGTCAAGAGATACTCTTTCCCATGCATCTAGAGGTGTATCTGTTATTATCATGTTTTCTCTATTTTGATTTCTTACAATTTTCTTTTGTGCACAGCTTCTACATTTTCTTATATACTCTGTTATATCTTGTCTTAATCCTGGCCACGTATATTTTTCTCTAATCCTGTGATAAGTTTTATTTACTCCTTTGTGGCCCGCCATTAGACTATCATGATATGCAGCAATTATTTTCGTCCTGTATTCCTCTGGAGGTATCACTATCTCTCCAAAGCACACTTGGATTTGTATATCATCTCTAAAAAAAATTTCTACTATTTTATTGATCCATGTTGGTTCGAACTCATCTAGTGTTACTGTGTGTCGTGGAATTCGAATTGATTTGACGTTTTCTCTTAATAATACACTTCTGAGATTCACTAGTACTTCTTTTAAATCTTCCTCGTTTATTACTTCATCATATTCTGTTTTTATTATTACTGTGAAAGTCTTGTATTTACTTCTAGGTGTGACTAAAATTTGTCCTTTTCTTGGTTTTTTTCTTTTCATTTCCTTTATGTCTATTGCTCCTATGGCCGACATTAATTTATTCACAGGATCATTGAGTTCTAGATCTGCCGACATGAAGTGTACGTAATTTCCCCATGTTTCCGTTAGAGATTCCCTTCTATATTCCAATTTTTCTAACCTGTCTAAATTGGGTTTAATTGTTTTATCCTCATATCTTTTTACTACTGGTTGTTGGACGTCTATGTAGGGCATTGTAATGCATAGGCCTAACCCTCTAGTAGATTTAATTTCATTTTCTTCGTTTTGTGAATTTTTTGTTTGCTCGATTAACTTTCTTGGCTTAATTCGTGTTTTTAATCTTTCTGGGTATAATTCCGCCTCTTCTACTTCTTCTGTTATTACGTTATGAATGTACGGGGTGGATCTAGCATTAGGTTGTTGTTGATGAAGCGGGGTATCAGAGGTTACCGACTTCTTAATTTTTTCAGTAAATTTTTGTGGTTCTTCCTTCCGACCTTTTTCTTCTTCCTGAATTGTTGATTTTTCTGAATATTTATTTAACTCTCGTAACACTGCAATTATTTCATCTATTGTCCTAACTTGTTCTTGTGGTTCTTCTTCGATTTCTGCTTCCTCTAGTCTTTCTGTTATTTCATCATCCCAAAAATACGATTGGTTCTCTGCAATACTCATATCGTACCGCTTTATAGATTCCCTTATTTCTTCTAACATTTCTTTTTCTATTACTTTATTGTCTTTTCTTTCACATTCTGCATTGTATTGTTTGTTCTCTTCATTTTCATTATTTGTTTGTAATTGTTCTTCTTGAAGTTTATCTGTTTCATGTACTTCATTGTTGTTCACCAGAAATTCTTCTTCTTCCTCATCTGAACTGCTTATGGGGGGGCTAACATGTATTATAATCTCATCTTTCTCAAGTCTTTTTGTTGGACTTTTATTATAAAATACTTCATCTTCTCCAGAAGATGTGGTTTCTTCCATTTCTTCTCTTACACTCTACTTAATGAGGGTAACAAACTATGGCTTTGTCGTAGTATAGGGATTTCTTTATTCGCTTGTATTGACTCTTCTGTGTTAGATCCCTCACTGTCTCTTTCCGATTCAAAATCATTTTGTTGTGGCAAAGTTTTCTCTTCTTTATTTGTAGTAGTAGTTGCCCTTGACCTTCGTCTTGTTGATATGGGCCGCTCGTCGCTATCTTCCACTACCGTTTTCTTTTTGAAACTACCTATAGGTCTTCCTCGTTTTCCTTGCTCTCTAGCATTGCTTGTTTTTTTAAGTTCTACTGTTGAATCTGATTTAGCCCTTTCTCTCAGTTTTTTAGTTTGCTTACTCAATGTGTTTTTGTCCTTGTTTGAGCCAGCTGCGCTACTTATTGGGAAAGGTTTTTTTCCTGCTTCTAATTCCTTTTCATCTTCGTCTGAATTTAAAATCTTATCGCTAGAGCTTGTTTCTGAATTCTCTGACCCTTCTTCTGTCCTTTCGTCTTCTTTAATTGGATTTTCCGATAGCCCTGGTAGCCACCTATTAATTTTTCCTGGTTTGCACTCAAATTCATATTGGTAATCTTGTAGACGTAACAACCATTTTATTATTCGAGTCGTAGGTTTATTTGCGTTATTTATTATTTTTAAGGGCTCATGATCGCAAGAAAGTATAAATTTGGTTCCATACAGAAAAGGTCTAAAATGTTCTAGTGCGCTTATCACTGCTAAACATTCATTTTTTGTAGTTTCATAATTCATTTCCGCTCCTACTAAAGTTTTTGAAAAGTAAGCTACCGGTAAATCAATTCCATCTTTTTCTTGTGTTAAGACCGCACTGACAGCATGGTCTGTCATCGGTTGTTACCTTGAATGTTTCCGAAATATCTGGATGTTGTAATATAGGATTTTCGCAAAGTGCTCTTTTTAGTTTTTTGAAACTTCTTTTTTCGTCTTTTCCCCAATGGAATTGTTGTTCTTTTTTTAATAGAATGTATAAAGGTTTTGCTATTTTAGCGTAACCTTTTATAAATTTTCTATAATAACCTGTAATTCCTAAGAAACCTTTCACAGCTTTTGCTTTGCTTGGTGTTTGAAATTCTTTTAATGCTTTGATTTTTTCAGGATCTGCTTGATTGCTTCTGCATTTACAACATGTCCTAAATAGGTCACCTCTTTTCTCAAAAATTCGCATTTTTCAGGTTGTACTGACAGCTTTGCCTTTCTTAATCTTTCCATTAATCGAATCATAGTTTTGTCATGTTCTTGGAGGGTTTGTGAAAAAACTATAATGTCATCTAAATAAACAAATAGTTCTGCTCCTTGTAAACCTAGCAAAACATTGTCCATTAATCTTTGAAATGTAGCTGCTGCATTTTTCATTCCCATAGGCATTCTTTTATATTGATAATGCCCTCTTCCTGATAAAAAAGCAGTTTTATGTTGATCTTCTTCTGCTGTCCCAATTTGGTGATACCCCATAGCTAGATCAAAAACTGAAAAGTACTGCGCATTTCCTAACCTTTCCAAAATTGAATTTACCAGAGGTATTGGGTAACACTCCCCCCCATCTTCTCATTTAATTCCCTGAAATCTATTACTAGTCTCCATATTTTGTTGCCTTGTGCATCTGCCTTTTTTGGAACTATTAGAACTGGAGAGTTGTAATTTGATTTAGAGTTTACTAATAAATCATCTCCATACTTTTTCGTTATGAGTTGTTTTCCGGCTTGTTCGTACTCCGGAGGCTGCCGATATTGATTACATTTTACCGGATTTTCATCGGATGTTGGAATGTAATGTTTAACTAGTGGTGTAACTGGCAATTTATCTCCTGGTAATAAAAATCTATCTTGTCCTAATCTGACCCATTTTTCTACATATTATTTTTCTTCCCGATTTAAATAATCTAGTACCATCTTTTCTAGTATTAATTTAGCGCGATTTTCTGCTTCTAAACTTTCTGTTTCGCTATTAGATTTGGCATACTCAAAAGCAAATAATTCTTGGGGTGCAACTGATATTTTGATATCTTTATCCGTAGTGTTAATTGCAATTATTTTACATTTATTCCCTTTTTGTTTGACTAAAGCTTCTCCTAAATAAACCCCCTTTCTTGTTTCTATTCTGGGCAAATAACCTTCTTTTAGATCAGTACTTTGTAACGGTATTTCTACTATCTGACGCGACCTAGCTTTGATTCTTAATAAACGCGATACGTGTTTTACTTCGCCTTTCATTTCATTATTTGCTGTTTTCGACTCGATATCAATAAAAGGTATTGGTTCCGTTGGTTTTGATTGAGTGACTATCATGTTATAAAAGAAATCTAATTTTGCTCTTTCTTCTCTTAAGGGGGTGTCCTGAATTAGAAAGCATAAAAAAGCTGTTTTTTGATAATTTTTTTAGAAGGGAAAAAAAATCGCAGATTAGTTAAACCTAAGGTACATTTTTATAGATGTTTGAAGAGTGTAAAAAAAATTTAAACCACATGATTCTATGAACTGTTAAGGAGTTATCAACCTATTCCGAGAGCGCCTTCAAAAAGCAGTATGCAATTGGCGGAAAAGATACAGAACGCAATTCTTGACCAAAAAAAAAAAATTTTTTTCAATTTTTGCATATGCAGTTTCTAATTGAACCTACAACAACACGAAAAAGTCGTGAAATAATAATTTTTATTAAAGTTTGAAGAAAAAAATATAATTTTTAGACAAAAAAATCACTTTAAAGTGTTATAAAATTTTCTAAAAATAGATTTTGAACCATGTTTTAAGTTCAACTAAAAGAGAATATTATACTAACGAGAATAAGCGTTGGACCGATCCAATCCGTCGATAAATTTTTCTGCTATCTTTCCCGCCAATTGCATACTGCTTTTTGAAGGCGCTCTCGGAATATGGTGATAACTCCTTA